TAAATCAGGAAAGGTGACTTTGTTCCTTTTGTTCCTTAACTACTGCTTTTTATCCAAGGGAATGGAAGTCTGTACTAAAGGGACTGGCAGCCACAGGCTTGGCACACATCCTGTGGCATCAGCAGCTACCTGCAGGAGATACTGTTTCTTTCAGTTCTGTGCCTGGCCCTGTAACTCCCCCTGTATTCCTTTAAATACAGACTCCTCCATTCCCTTGGATAAAAAACAGTAGTTAAGGGACACAGGCAAAATTGAAGTGTGCTGCAAAATTAAATCTGTGCTGCAGTTGCCACTGAGGCCATTATGCTTTGGTGATGCTATTTGTGCCCCAGCATGATTATGTTCCTGATTTGCTTGTGCTTAGTTTTGAGATGCTTATTTCGTTTTTCTGCAAAGGTACCATACATGAAAGCCAGTTTCTGGTAGTCAGCATCACCTTTGCGATGTTAGTCGTGTGGGCACCATTTTCCTGCAGATGTTTTACTGGACATCTTTTTGAGTCAATTGAAAACAATCGGTACAGCTGGGCTTATGTATTTTTTCCTCTGTTGTTTTGCTGCAGCAGAGACTTAAGAGTGACAGCAATAGGAGCTGAGAGCTGTTTTCTCTTTGCAAGCTGATGCTGTACATTAGTCAAGATTTTGATTGATGACCTACTGTAGGATGCAGTTAGAGCTCCCATTTAGCTCTGCTGTGTTCCAAATGCTGTAATTGATTACACAGGTATTGTAACAGACTTCTTTTTTATCAATTCCTTGGGTACTTTGACCATGGCATTTTAAGGAAGTACTTCAGATAAGGGGCTTGATCAAGTAGGTAGGCAGCGCTGAAGTCTTTGAAGTCACTGACCTTACAGCTACCAGTTAAATTACTATGAATTCCTCTGAGCCATACTGCTTCTATCCCCATTGCCTCATGAAAAGCATATGCTTGCTAGATTAAGGACATGTAAATTTGTCATCATAAATTCATGCACTCGAGCATAATTAAAGTGTAATTTGACTGCCTTTATAAAAACATTTGGGGCAGCCATGAATTTTGTTTCCCTTATGAAGCATTCTAAATATTTTATGATGTGTATTCATGCCAAGAACTTAGCTATGTATTTTTGGTGATGCTGAATGACATCAATGTCACTTTGATTTAGGATTGATTGCCAGAGTCCTTTAGTGTGAATCTGCTCTTCAGCAATAGAAGAATCTCTTTAAACTCTTGAAAGCATGCTGGTGGGGTAAGTCCCTGTTTAAGGATGGGATTAATATTCTAAAACCTGTCCTCAACCACTCCTGCATACTGATGGGGTCTGCATGCCTTGTTGACCTATTCTAGAAAAGAACTGCTGATAATTTTGTTATCACAGAATGGTTTGCATTGGAAGGGACCTTAAAGCTCACATAGTTCCAATCCCACTGCTACAGGCAGGAACACCTTCCACTAGAGCAGGTTTCTCAAGACCCCATCCAACCTGGTCTTGAACATTTCCAGGGATGGGGCAGCCACAACTTCCCTGGGCAACCTGTGCCAGTGCCTCACCACCCTCATAGTGAAGGGTTTTTTTCCCTAATTTAAATCTACTTTTTTTTCATTTAAAGCCATTCCCCATCTATTGTCACTTGTTACAGACATCTATCAGAATCTCTACAGTTTCAGAGCACCACCTATCCAATCCTGGGTTTAGACAGCCTTTCAGCAGATCCATCTCCTGACTGTTCCTAGGCAGACACCATCTGTAGTGGCTGATTTTCCAGCAGCTTAGGTAGGTCAGAGCACTGGAGCAGGGTATTTGGATGCATGGCTTCATGCCATCCATCAGTTTCTGCTCCATTTATTTGAGAGGAATGTGGTCACCTGGGCTTTCTGTACCCTGAACCTCATCACTGGTCAGGCAGGACATGCTGTACACAAGTCTGAGTAGAAAGAACAGGGCAGCAGTTTCACTACAGTTGCATTTTGCCAGAGCACAGGTCTCTCAGAAGTATGGGAAATGTTGCATTATCTGCTAGCACTCCACATCTCCTGAGATGCTTCCCCCCAAAAACAGAGGGACCTGAATTGTCACTGGACCAGGAGATTGCAGTCATTTACAGCACAACCAAAGAATTGCCTGGGTCTGAGATCAGAGACCTGCTTTCACCTGTGCTTACAAGCTGTGCCTGGAGAGGGTTTGGCAGCAGCGGTGCCTGCATCTGGGCTAGCACTTTACAAAGGGAGTTGTTGGGGTCTTCACTCTCTGATCCAGTTACACACCACACACCAGCCCTGCTCCTGCAGGGAAACCATTTCTGTGTACAGTGGCTAGCTTTCACTCAGTTCCACCCTTCACACCGTGAGCTGTAGAAGCCCGTTATAGTTCGGTGCCTTGCAAATGCAGCTCCTCCATAGCAACACTTTGTGCTAGTGGCAGAAAAGGAGAGGAAATAAACTTCTGGGTTTCCTTCTTATTCCAGTGTCTTTTGTTCTGAGAGATTTGAAATCCTATAGCTCCTCTTCCGCCTTCTTTGACCTGACTCCGTTTCTGTCCTGCAGTGCTTCTGTGGATCCCCTCACCCTCTTCTACAAAGGTGAAAACTCATGATAATATGGTTTAGTGCCTGCAGTAGAGAAAATGAATAACACAGGACAGTGCTCAACCCTTTCTTGAGCACAAAATTTCATTTTTTTCTAGAGAATATTTGTAAATTTTAGCTCAAATCCCAGCACTCACTTGCAAGGTTGCTCAACATTTGCTTTTCGACAGTTTCTTCATTCCCACTTCCTTACACTTGAATGTAACACACATTTCAGATCTGCTTTAGACTTATCTTGCCTGTTGCAACAACAGTGCACTGGCCAGAAGAACTCTGAAAGTTGACATGCCTGCAGCATGCCGAAGTCTGGACAGTTGACTAAGCCTGGATTACGCCTCCTTTCTGCCAAGTTTGGACTTGGGGGGGATTACCTAGAAAGACCAGCACACTGACTCTTTTAAAAGCCCTTTATTGTATATCTTATTTCCTCTTTTCAATCTAAGTATCAAAATGCAATGCTCAGGCTTCAATTCTGACTCAGAATTCTCTCCCTTTTCACAAATACCAGCACTTCATGAGAACAGCTACCTGGGTTCCAGGTATTCCCCAGTACAAATACCAGACAATACAGGACTATGGTCTGAAGCAGACCCAACCAAATACTTCTCACCCTTTTTGCCAAGGCCAAGCTCCCCAAGGAAAAACTCTTCCTGGTGACCAGATCACCACTCCCTGCAGCACTTACATGGCAGATCCTACCTACCCACAGCACTGTATCAAGCCTTTCCCAGCCTGGCTGAAAATTACTTCCTGCTAGATACTAGAAGCATAGAATAGTTAGGGTTGGAAAGGACCCTAAGATCATCTCATTCCAGCCCTCCTGCTATGGGCATAATGACTGTCCTACACTTCCCACTTCAAGCAGACAGGATCCTAGTATAGGCTCAGTTTTCCTCACATCCCTCTCCCTTTCTCAGCCTTGCAGGAATGCCTCGAAAGGTGGTGACTTCCCTCTGGAAAACGTTGTGCGTTTCTGCCCTCACTCTTGTCTTCCTTCACAAAGCAAACACGACAGTTTCACTGCTTTCCTGGCAGCACCGTCCAAAAAACCTGCAATTTCTGTCATATCACAAATCTTTTCACAATTTCTGTTCTTGGGATGATTACATTTAAAGATCAATAGCAGGTCTAATGGTGGTGATAGCACTTTCAAATTAACTGAAGTCTAAGTACAAAAACGCTATTCCTGGCACACAGATCAGTATTGTAATTGCCTGTTTGATTAGCAGTTAAGGACCAGTACTGTTGTACAGTGTAATGAGTCTTACTTACCTAGCTCAAACTAAAGCATAGTGGCTTTACAGTGGTTAAAAAAAAAAAACAGCTTGTGCTGCATAAAGCAGCTCATATTTAAGCAACAGCACACATCAGAGTGCTCAAAAGCCCCTTCAGTAGGAGCTGGATGTTTACAGCCATGAGAATTAACAAATATGGTACTAACATGAGAGGCAGGAATTCAAATGTGCCCTTCAAAGTACTTAAGACTAGCTTTAAAAAGTAAAACTAGAGCCTACCTACAGCAGCAGCCAGCAGCTGGAAGGGAGCCTATAGGGATGACCATCTCAGTGCCAGGTCTTGGATTTAAACAAACTTTCTGGATAGTGGGGTGGAAAGAACTACAGAAGTCCCATCTGCCCTAAAGTACAGGTGTTTTAATTGGATGGGGCCTTGAGATCAACCTGGTCAAGTAGAAGGTGTCCCTGCCTTGTGGCAGAGCTGTATTTTAACTGGTTTCATAGCAGTCCATCAGATGGATCTGATTCTCAAATCAGTGCAGGTGTGTTACAGGATGTTCAATAATTAGAGAAACTGGCACAGCAACTCTTCTTATCTATTGAACTTACTCAGATTAAATGCCATTCAAATTAATTTCAAATTATTGTAATAGACAATAAACTGGGTTTCCTAGACTTGGGTAAAGCTGGAGCACGTTAATCAATTCAACATGAAGCAGTACCCAGGATCACTACAACACAAACAACTTCAATCCCTCCAAACCTGACATTCCCAGTAATCAAGGCAAATTAATTCAATGAGCAGATCTTCGCTGGTAGTGGAACAAATATCTCCCAACAGTAAGGAGAGTTAAGCACATTAAAGGACAACAAGATGAAAAAAGCAGTTACCATTCACATTGCTGTAGTCCAGAAGAATTCCTTTTACCACAAGAGCAAATGAGTTTCTAAAAACGTAGGTAGTTCTAAAAAAAGATTCAGGACAGAGATTAACTTGGTTTAACTATACTCATTATTTGGTTTAGGAAAATTAGTCCATACAAGGTGCTCTTTCAACATTTGCTTCTGAAAGACAATTAAAACTAAACTGTTACAGACTTTGGCCCAGTGTCACATACAGGAGGCTGCCAGCACAAACTATTCAGCTGAGCTAATACTAAATACAAGTAGCTACACCTATGAAGCCACAAAGAATAAATGCATTCAGGAACAACTGTTCTTTGTTTTATTGACTGGTTGAAGCAGGACTATAAGCCAGGTGTATTTCACTCAAGTGTTGGTCCACTCTTATCTTCAAAAAGAATTATTTTTTTATAGTAACATCAACACAAATGGAAGGAATATGAAGCGTCATAACAGGAACTTTCAACTGTACATGACATGAGACCATGATCAGACTGGTGCTACTTCAATATCTATAGACTCTTCACTGTACAGTCCAGCCACACTAGTGTTATTTACCTCCAAATCATTCAAGTTCTAGGTAAAGGATCCTTCTGACTACAGCTCACATCTGAGCCATCAACATGAAATCAAAATGCCATTTGTGCCACTAGGATTGTAGTCTTGTAGAAATATTTCTATATTTAGTGTATTACTAAAGAATAATTACTATCCTCTCTGAAGTTACATATAGCCATTATAAATATTTACATCAAACATTTACAACTGGTTCATAATATACAACACAACAATTTCATTATAACTTCTAATCTTCCAGTGTAAAAGTTTCAAACAACATGTTGCTATCATAATTTCATCTGGTTTCCACACAGTCACAGGCAGTACAGGGTATTTCAAAAACTCATGTTATATGATTAAAAAAAATGGAATGATGTTACTTTAATAACAATTACCTTGGGGATTGTTTGTTGTTGGTTTGTTGGGGTTTTTTAACAAGCAGTTTTCAATTTCTAAGCCCCATCTGGTGCTACACTAACATTTAAAATAAGCTTAAGAGGAAAAAAAAATACTTAGAAATAAATACACCTTTAAAAAATTCCACAAGTAACCATCTCAGAATATGTTTTCCAGACAGTTTAAAGGAGACCTTACTCTTCATCATTTCCTTGCACTGAAATAGAGTGCAGTTCAATCCATTCTTATCTTCTGATTTGTCATCCTATAAATAATGCTGTCGTAGCCAGGATCCATGTTCCAGAGGTTGTAGGAGATAACTATCACAGCTAAAGCAAGACCTATCATCATCCACAAAATAATGTTGAAGATTACAGAGTAGTTGTAGTTATATGGGTAGGCAAGGTTATATGGATTGTCTGGTTCGCTCTGCAATAAAGAGAAGGTATATTACTTTAAAGTTAGCTTGCATACAAAACACATTCTCACTACATCAAAGATCTGAGCAATCTGAATATGTGAGATGCAGTTTTGTCTACACAATCCTGATGCTAGGGCACAAAATGCAAAAGTGATTACGGGTGACCAACATTAATGGAATCCAAAACAGGCTGACAGAAGCCTCATGAAATTTTGTTAGGACAGAGTCCTGCACCTGGGACAGGCTGCTGGGGACTGACCACTGGGCAGCAGTTCTGCAGAGAGGGACCTGGAGGTCCTGGTGGACAAGGTGCACAGGAATCAGCAGTGTGCCCCTGTGATGATGCCAGGCAACTGCACCCTGGACTGCATCTGAAACTTAGGCAGCAAGTCCAGGAAAACAATTGTCTCCCTACCTGGGAGACAGGTCTTACATGCACTACAGCACTGGGGAGAAAAGAGCAGACATGTAAATTCTAACAAGACATAACAGAAAATATGTTGGCAGTGACAATGGGTAAAGCTTTGGAACAAGCTGTCCAGAGAGGCTCTGGGATTGCCAGCCATGGACTTTTCAAGAACTTGGCTGGACAAGGACCTGAGCAGCCCAATCTAACTCCTAAATTAATCCTGCTTTGAGCAGTTGGTTGGACTAGATGATCTCCAGAGGCCCTTCTTCAACCTAAATTAGTATCTGATTAAGTGAAGATCAAGACAGGGAAGCTGACCTCTTCACACCCATGCCTAAACCGGTTAGTAGTCTAGTCCTTACAAAAAAAAGTCATGCTCAAGTGAAGTAGTGATGCAGTTTGGATCACTTCTAATAAATGAGATACAGAAAAATGTGCATCTACTACCTGTGAAGACTGGAGAATTGAGCGAGTCTTCCTTATGTTGGGAGAATTAAACGCCTTTACAGCTACCACTTCTACTACTGCATTCCCACTGTACAGATTAAACATCTCATCTGCAAACTGGAAAAGCAAGAGTGATTTAATTTGAAACCTGCACCGTAGCCAGGAATTAAGCAGAGTTTTGTTAGCAAGATGCCTTATGGATTAGTACATCAGCTTTAGGAATAATGCTGGAAAGTTGTAAAAATTTACACCATTTCAGAATTACACTCAGGAAGTGCTGACTCACCTGGTTTACAGCATCTCTTTAAACTACCTCAAACACTGTCCAGGAAACTGGAGCTTATGACTGCTTTCTGGGCTGAACTCATTCTTTCATCCCTTTCACAAAAGGCCCATCAGCACACAGCTTCCCCATTGTATGTCTATCCATTTCAACAAAATATTTCAGTTCTCAATCTTCCACTGGGAAATTATAAACCTGAATAATTCAGTGTGTTCTGAAGACTAATACGTCTAGTATTTAAATACATCTGCTTAACTGCAAAGAGGACAAAGAGCAGTGTTTAGAGAAAACAGTTATTTGACTTATTGGCCAAACTTATTTGTCATTTTTCATACTTTCCCATCGTGCTTTTGAAAATCCCAAGATTGACTGGTCATAATAAAGATTTTATCTAACAATTACCTGACAAAAAATTACTTTGAGCACATTGATAGATGAGAGCAGTTATTTTACAGGCTTGGAAATACAGATTTGTACAGCTTTGTGGGCAAGGGGAAACTAACCACTGTACCCTGAGATAAAGAGATTCCCACATTTCTCAGAGCAGGTTTTTGCAAGACCTACTGCTGGGTTTAAATGCATGATATTTATTTAGGAAAAACAAATATACCAAGTCATGTTTCAATATAACCCTACTCATTTACACAAAACATCTAACACATTGTAAAATCATGTCAACAATTTCCAGAGTGACAAGTTGCAACATTCAGTTTTGTAACTGATCATCAGCATTTTTGAAAACCAAACAAAAACAAGCATCAGGCAAGCCAACACTAATGAAGTAACATTTCAAAGCAGAAAATAGTCAATAAACTAACTCCCTTGTAGTTAATACCAAAAAATATCTCCTTAGTATTCATGCGAGTTTTGCTCATTAGGTAGAAAGCATACCTTTTGCAAAGAGTCTACAAGAATTTGAGAAGCATCCTTGAACTGCTGAGAGTCTTCCCCATATCGTTTTCCAACCTCTTCCAAACCAGACAGTTCCAGAGAATACAGGTCTGGAGAGTGATCTTTGGCTAAGTGCTTGTGTCGAGACAGCTTTGGCACACCATTGAGGGCAGAAAGAAATTAAATCATACACAGGTTACTTTAAAAACCTATTTCGCAAAAGTCAGCTTGCTGCTGGGACTAATCCAGCCTCACTTTCCACAGTCACATTCCATACTGATAAGGAAGTGGAATTTTTTGCCAACTTAACTAGAAGTCCACAATTTTTGGACTTCTAGAAGCAAGAAGATGATCATCACGCAGCATCTATTCCTAACATGAGGTTATATACATGTAATATAGAGCTCTACTAAAAAGAAACATTATACTTATTCACATCAAATTCCTTGTTCCGTAATTGTTGTAAAAATAAAATCTGGAGAAAAAACTTAAAATACATAACTATAATACTTAGACATTAATAATCCCTCTGCTGAAGCCAGCCCTTGCAAAACTGAGTCGGTTGCAACTTCTACCTTGCTGTAACCCATGTACAAAAGTATTTTACTTAACAAGTATTATCCCATTGTCGTAAACCCCCAACCGACAGATATAGTCCAAATTATCTCAAAGGACAGGAGTGAAGTCCTTGCACTTCTACAGGTGTGAAGCTGCAGCACTGCCATTTGCCTGCATAAGAGAGCAGTCTCTGAAAGCAAGGCATTGAATCTGCTCATTATCTTCCCATCTACTTTAACTACACGATTTCTAGTTTGCAAGACACCCCATTGTCCTGCCTCATTTTCTCAAGAGCTCTATTCTCTCCATCAGACCTTCAGCTAAAGTGAACTTTCAGCTCTTAATGCCTCTTTCATTTTAAGTAGCTGAGGACTGCAGCATAAAGAAAGAAAAGAAACAACCAACCCCCACAACCAACCTCAAAACAAACCCCAAACCACAGCGACAAGACAGTAGCTTCTTAGTAAAAAGACTGTAAGAATTACAAGTTTGCCTGCCCATGGGAACACTTCTATCACCATCACTATTCATGCTGCAAAAGCTACCCCAGTCTTTTCAGATAAAATGTTACGGTGATCTTCTGAAGTAAAACTGTGGCTAGGGCAAAGAACATGTTCTTAACTACCACTATACTTATCAACTAAGAAAAGAAGAAAAGCCCTAGCAAATTCTTCATTAATTACTTTCTATGTCTTTGGGTATGGAGAAATACCAGCTCAGAATTCCCACTGTTCTCACTAAACACAATACAAAAGAAATTACAAATGATTAAGGGTCTCATTTTCTTCCACCAGTGAAAGGGCTGATGAAAACAGCTTCAGAATGCATTATTTAAACTGATACAGCCAAATGATGACAAACTGGAATATATACCACTGGTCACCAAGTATCCTGGCTACAGCTTCTATATCTTTAAAGGCGATCTCTGAAGTTTTTGACAAAAGACAGGGAAAGTGTTTCAAAAAACCTTACCAGGCTTGCAATATCATGTAGGACTTGTAGTTCTGACAGAAAAAGCAAGTCAACCTGGGGGAAGAGGCAGAAAGAAAGAGACAGGTATTTCCTTTGGAGAGACCAAAGTTCAGGAAGTCTCATTTTGTTGCAAGGCTCAGTATTTTACAACAGGTTAAGTCCGTTATAGCATCAAAATATGCTAGAAGGAAATTACTCTTCCAATAAACTTACTTACAAAAACAAAGCCCCCAAACCTAAAAGCTTAGTTCCTTTGTTCTTAGTTCCCACTGATTTAAAAAATAAATAAATTTACCTCATTATTTCTGCTGAGGGAGTTGAGAGGAAGGGAGCCGAGAATGGAGTTGTCCTGGAATAAGCGGTTTCGCAGTTGGCGCAGCGTGACAGAGAGATCTTCAAATACGGAGTTTGCCTTACCCACCATGTACACCCTCTGCAGGAACAGCACCGGAGTAGTTTTCAGTTTTTCCAGTCATTCATTAATAACCAATCACACTTGCAATCCCTCTCCAATGCAAAATATTTCATAAAATCAACTGGTTTTGCTCCAGCCACACAAGTGGAAAGCGGTTTATTATTTAGAACATCTGGAATCAGAAGTGAAGCAATACTCACTTCCTCACTGGGGGCCAGCTGCAAGACCACAGGAGTTTCCTCAGAGAACAAAGTATGAATGGCATTTGCAACACTGTCAAGACTGAAAGGAACGGCCTGGAAGACAATATCTAGTTAGATTTTTGATAAAACAGGGCCTAATGATATAAAAAGAGATAATTTGCTTAAGTACAGGAGCCTGGAAAAATAAGATAACCTCTTTTTGAGCAAATGTGGATACTCACATTCTCAATAGGGTAAGAAACCCCTTTCACAGGCAGTGCCAGCTTGTCCACTCCCTTCACAGTTACCAGCACAGTAGCTCGTGGTCTGTGAAACAGATCACCCACTGCAAGGCCAGGCCAGGAAAGGTCCTATTAGAATACAGTAAAAAACTGCTTGTATTTCTAAGGGAGAAAGCGAGGACCCCTCCCCAACAATTACAGCAAAATATCTTGTTAATATCTCTGTGCAAGACAGGCTGTTGGAAATTTCATGGGGGAGCAAGTTAATACTAGAACTCCTCTAAAAAAATGCTGCCTCAAGTTAACAATGAAGAAACTGCTGGTTTAAAAGGTACCAGTAACTTAATAACAAAGTCTACACTGAGAAAGCATTACATATACTGGATAGGAGTTATTTCCCATAATTAAATTAAATATATCATAGTCTGTATTTAATAAATGAAAGCTCAATTAAAAAACAACCACACATCCCCCACCTTTTCCAAAACATCATAGAAAAGAATTTAGGCACATTAAAACACTAACGACTTCATATTTTCAGTACTAGAAAGAAATGAGACACACACACACACACACACACACAAAGGGTATTAATCATAACAGCAACATACTAATCTAAAACATACAAATTTGCACAGAAAACAGAAAAAAAGATTCCTTAGTAGCTTTCTGCAGTTATGTATTGGTAAGAGCACAGTGAAGGCTACGTGGCTGGTTTATTCAGGCACAAAATACAAATTCATCCATTTAGACTGATTTCAGATTTCTTCATCTGTGTAAAAGACATACCTGCTTGTTTAAGTTTTATGAAACTGTTTTATTTGGATATATTTGGATTTCAGAACTACATGTCATTGACATCTTGATCTGTACCACCTCAAAGAAACAAAAGAAAAATCTTTTAAAGAACCATCAGGGACAAAAAAGAGGTTCCATTTTATCTTGCTTTAGCAAGAAAACCATTTTAGGACTGTTGCTCAGAATCCCCAATGTAATGCAGCAAGAATTCTCAATTATATATAGTGCACCTACTGCACTGCCAATTTATGTTCCTAGACTACAGCCTTGATGTAAACCTGAGTGTTTGGGCCCTTTGGTATCCTCCATACCAAGGTATGCTGCCTAGACAGTGATCAATGCCTTAGTGACAATGCTGGTAACTTTCAGTTTCAGAGCTTCACTGAACAGAGAAATTAAAACACTTCCTTTCCTGCCTGCTTCTAGGATTTGAAATAATACTAGTAGAGAACTACTTCTAAAGGATGCTATGGACCCATCACAGCAAATGAATCCTATGCTTTGTCAAAAGCACAGAGTGAGTACTGAAACGCTTTTTTCCGTAAACATACCATACCTCTGGATGACCAGTATGCCAGAAGTCAGGTGTTCAAAATGGGACAAACCTCACTGTTTTCCTGGGTGTCTTTACATGTAATGCACAAAATACCATCTGATGTACTGTTTTTTTCTTTATAAAATAATCAAAATAGACTTCTTGGGAATACTACTCATAAGAGTGTGTTACTAGTTTAATGACAAAAAAGCATAATTAATTGGCAACAAGGTATTTTCAGACAAATTCCAAAAACAGGTTAAACAGACCTGCATTCAAACCAGACTTAAAGGACCTTTTGCCTAGCTGCAGTATAGAAAAAATGAGAACCCGCCTTCACCACCCCCAGCATTGTGAGCACACCCCAGCTTGTAGCTTTGAGTATCTAGAGACACCTGGGTATCACACTTTAAGATTCTGCTTCAACAGCTGGTAATCTCTGCTGAAGCCCAGCAAGAAATGCAGTAGCCAAGAGAGAATCAATCCAAGGGCTCCTACTCATATGCCCCACTTTAAATATCACTACAGCTATATTCAAAAACCTGATTTGGGAAAACACTACCCCAAGTTTTCAAGTCTCTGGGTTACTTCCTAAATACCCAGTCTACTTGGTTCTTATTATCTATGCTCAGCACACAAGCTTGCTGAACTGACAAAATGCCTGCCCAGCCAAGCCATTTCGTACCATCTTCAGTGTACCCAGGCGCACAGCCCTATGGATAGCTTGTAGGCAAGAAGTGACTAGTTTCAGCAGATTCCCAGTACGTGACCATGGGTGGGGGGATACAGCATGTGGGTGGCTCTCAGAGGAAATTAACAACAGCACAGTAAAGACTCACAGGCATGCTTCCTTCTATAGCTGATGATTCAAATTAGCTGGCTAGCACAGCCTTTTGCTGCTCATATGACTTGGAAACCACACTCTGACAAGTCACACATTCCTCAAGACAAACACGATGATATTTTATATATTCCAGCACATGACAGAAGATCTGCATTTTAAGTGAGCAGGTCTGTTGTTTTAGAGGCATTTCAAAAATCAAGAACTGAAACATACCTCTTCAACAGAAAAGCCCATGGACAACGCAGCTACATCTGGGATCCGCTCGCCAGGAATGGGCCAACTTCCATCTCGAAAAACAACCGACTGAGGTAATCGTAAGACACTAAATTCATCTCCACTTACACCTGAAAAACAAACATAAAAAGCCATCAGAGTTCTTGAAATCTTATGCAACACAGAAAAAAACAGTTTTCATTCTTTCTTCTTCCCTCTCACACCTACCAGTTTATGTAATGCAAACCAATCATTTTAATGCTCTAGCATACAAAATAAGATTTCTATACAGCAATAACTAAGGACATACAAATCCACATTAACAAAAGCAGGACAATTACTCAAGCAACAGCACAGTACACTTCTGCATACTTACTAGTGGCTTGCAAGCAGTGTTACAGTTCACACCTGGTAGAACTAACACTCAGCAGAGCCAGGCAGACTCCAACATCCTCTTAGCTCACAAGCAGCATCAATACAGCTGTTTGCTTCCAGGACTGCTTGGTTTACCACCTCTTTTCATGCAAACAGCCTGAGCCACTGAACCCAGAGCCAGGAGGATCAAGCATTTTGTCAAGGCTGGCTTGAACAGAGCACTGCCAGGAACAATCTGGCATCTGCAGCACAGCTCCGGTGTCTCTGCTCTGCCTTCTCAACCACATGACGTTGTGAGACATTCTTCTTCCTTGGATGCAGTACTAGACCTAAGCTAAACTTGTGAAGCCACAGCCTGCAACACTTCTCTTGCTGGGTTTTCACTTTCAGAAAAATCAAGAAAACAATAAATATTTGCAGGCTGTTGAAGTTCTAATTATACAATCAGTCTGACTGCACACTTCAAAAAAGATATATATAACAGTATACAGAAAATAAAGGTACTTACTCATACAATCACTGAAAACCAGTTACCAATATAAGCAGCTACATATCATAGTTTTCCAGGCCATCTGCAAATCTAAAGGCTGTTTATAAAAATAATGCAATAATAGAATAATAGATAGTAAACTGATGTGTTGTGCAGTTATAACCTTCCCTAAACAATAATTTAACCAATGTGACCTTGAAGATGCTGTTTTAAAGCCTCGCTCAAGATCATGCATGCAAATGTTGACAGTAAATCTGAGCTATGTTATGATAAACATACTAAAGGAACAAAGTACTGCAAGGCGAGTCAGGGAAGTGTGGCAAAAGGAAACAGAAACAGGCCAAAACACTAGATGCATACGGAGCAGATTCAAGCATTCTTTGGTTTAAACCGATGTGTTTACTGGATCAGCTGCTGTTAACTTCAGCAGTGCATCAACCCCCATTTTGAAGGGCAGAAATGTTTGCAAACCAATTTGTCTAAGAAGGAATTTATGAAATTGCTACAAATATTTTTGCTAAGCCTGTAGGATTTCAGTCCACTCCCCACAGGGCTGTAAGAGAGTCCCACGTTACTTAGGACAAGTTGGCTTAACTTAGGACAAAATTGCTTAGGTGGATGGGTAAAATTAGAGCATTACTTTTCTCAACGAAATTTGCCTTGCTCGACTTGCTCAAGATCTCAGTGATCAAAACTGAATTTTAACTTGAGAACACAAGCCTTTTCTTCAGGTACATTATAAGTGCTTGACCACAATAGGCCACAGAAGTGGTTAAGTCTAGAGAGTAAATGCTGAGATGCATTTAATCCTGTACACTGTTACACACACACACACAGAGGACACATAATCAGACTTTCACCTTGCCATAGTTGTACTTCTAGAGAACTTCACCTCTCAAAAGCCTTTGTGAGCTTGGACTGAAGAACTAAGGCAAACTGACTGAAAACTATTTGTGGGGCCTGGAAGCCTTAAGACAAGTCCAACTCAAAACAAGTAACAGAAAGTCTCCAGATCAGCAAAACATGAAAAGTTGTACAAAGTAACGTAACGATGTCTTCACAAACCATGTAGATAAGGCCCTTAAGTGACATGGTTTAGTGGTGGCTTGGCAGTCCTGGGGTAATGGTTGGACTTGATAAATTTAAAGGTCTTTTCCAACATCAATGATTCTATGCTTCCATAACATGTTCCATAAAGCACTATGCTACAAAGATGATACCGGAATAGAGTACATTTTGTCTAACCCCCTTGTACAACCCCCCTGTACACAATAGGCCACATCAGTTTGAAAAGGGAGTGCGAAGTCTTCAAGCACAGTACCTAGAAGGAGCCGGGGTGGGTGTGGAGATAGGGGGCAGGGAGATGCAGCAGAAGACTGCCCTCCGCTCCCACATCTCAGTCCTGAAGCTGGCAGACAGACAGGCAGACACATACGCGTGGGATAAATCCCGGGTCTTTTCCCACCTATAGCGGCCGGCCGGGGCCCTCCGTCCGTACTCCTTCCCCTTCCTTCACCCACATCGCTCCCGCACCCCTTTCCCACGGCTGCGGTCGGTCTCGCTAAGGCGCGCAGCCGCCCCTTTCCCCGCAGCGGCCAGGCAGCCCTTCCCGTTTCCCTGACCCCCACCCCCAACAGAAAGCTAGGCCAGCACTCCCCCACAACGGCCGAACGCCGCTCACTCACCAGCAAGAGAAGCTGATGTGACCAGTACCGCCACCTCCAGGGCCCAGAGCACGCCCCCGCACCACCCCATGTCCGCCGCAGTGCCGGCCACCGCCGGGCTACGAAACGCCGCTGAGAAGACGCCGGGCTGCACAGCCTTATCGAGAACCCCCAAGCCCCAAGGCCCCACCCCCTGGGGAGCGCTGACAGACAAGCACTGCAGCCAATTAGCAGAGAGAGTGACGGCGGCGAGGCGGAACTTTGCAGGAGTGACAGGGAGAACTGACCAATCAGCAATGCAACCCACCCCCTCCTTGTCACGGGGTGATCAGTCAGCTGAGCCGCTGTCCCGCCCAGACAGGGGGCGGAGTCCTAACTTGAATGACGCTTACTCTTGGCCAATCAGATAGTGAGAGATCTCTGCACCATTTTCCTCTCCGCGCTGTGGATTCAGAGCTGAGCGGTGAGAGGCGGAGCCTCGCCGGGGTGAGCGGACAGCAGATTCGGCCAATCGGAGCGCGAGGGATCGGGGCCGCGCCCCTCCCACCGCTCGTCAGTTTGGCGGAGGCGTGGTTCGATAGGGCAGCCTGAGCGCGGGGGACGGGAAGAGTCTCTGATTGACAGGGTAGTCACCATTCAGAGAGCGAGAGCTCCGCCTACTTCGCACCTGTGTAGTGCGGGGTGCTGAGAGGTTTTGACAGTGAGGGGAGGTTCGGGTTCTCGGTGGCGGTGGCGGTGACTGTGACTGTGACTGTGGCTGTGGCTGTGGCTGTGGCTCCGGCTCTGCCTCCGCCTCCGCCTCCAGTTCTGTGCTCTTCAGGTGGTGTACCTGAGAAGGCACAGATGGGAGGAGAAAAATCCATGTTTAAAGGGGGTTAGTACCGCTAGTGAGAGCACTTGTTTCAGGAGGATGGCAGGGGTTTCCGTTGGTTTGCTTTTTTGTTTGTCTCTTCAATGAGGTTTAAATAAAAAGCAGCCATGTGTTTATGGCTGTCATCTGCTTCAGCACTTCACCCATGAAAGGAATTGAAGCAGTGAGTTTGGCACCTCTGTGAAGCTGCAGGTCTGGATGTTTGCAGGTGAAGTAGCCTTCAGGGGCTTGATTGCGTCCATTAAGCTAGTGAGGGTTTATTAAGGTGAAGGAGAGGGGCCAAGATGGGGTGTTCAGCTGGAAAATCCCTGCCCCCTTTCCGGAAAGCAGTTACAGTGATAGACGTGCTTGCTGGCCAGACCCTGCTCATCTCACTTCAGCTGTTCTTGCTTGTAATAGAAGCAGGTGGGTGTGTGTTATTCACTGTATATGTCGTACAATGCAATAATCAAGTTGTGAGTAGTTCTTGGGGTCTTTGTACGTTTTTAGGCTCAGGAATCTTGATGAGTTCTATGATTCTCCTTTATAGGCTTTCCCGGAACACAGCAACTGTGTCACGTCCAGATGGCAAGACTATGTGCTGCACATGTCAGAGATCACTAGCCATAAGGTTGTCTGGACAGAGCTATTCTGCTGTGTGTTTAGAAAACCCAGTCAACTATAGGAGTACTTTTGAAAATTGCCTGAGCAACATTTCTGTACCGAAAGAGGGGCTTTGTCTAGGAGAATCAGTGAATGAGTTGTGGAGCGGCAGGTAGTAAAATGAAAAGCCATTGTAGAGCAACTGAGCAGTATATAAGAGAGTAAAGTTATATCCCTGTATCTGCCACATGATAGTGAGTGAATATAGGCAAATCACCTAAACCCAGCTTTTCTTAGGTGGAAATAATAGCCTATTCCTTGTCTGTGAAACGATTTCTGTAAGTGAAGAGGGGCTGCTGCTCCTAGTGTTGTCAGGTGGAAACTATACTTTAAATATGAGAACCATGCATGATGTGTAGAGTACTCCAAAATTTAACAGCCGTGCAAGTTAGGAGCACTTCAAATTAATACTTACGCTTTACTCTGAATTGTGCATCACCAGCACAACATCTTTTGTAGAATGAATGCAAATAAATGTTTGTGAGATTAGCTGGATACTGTAGCAAAGAGTATGATCAAAACAGTTGTTTCCTTATAGGCTTTTCTGCCTTTAGAGGGGGATTAGACGAGCATACAGGAGACAAGGCCTGGATCACTGAACAATGAAGATATTGAATGATTGTTTTTTCAATGAACTCAGACTGTGCACTGAGAAAGGCAGGATGATATTTGAAAAAAAAATATCCTATGTTTTTAAGATGAAAATGATACCACAACCTATATGCCCATGGGTTCTGTATTAAGTTTACGTGGGTTAACTTATTTTTGGCATTTACTAGCTCTTGGATGCTTGACTTTGCAAGTGCAGTATCCTATTTACTGTGTATATTTCAATGTCATTTCACAAAGTTTTACCTATCTTTGAAAATATATTTCCTGCGCAAAGGTGCTTGTAGTCTGAATTAAGTGACCATAGGATATCAAATATGGGTATAACGTGAGTTGTTTTGTCACAGCAGCAGCTGTAGTGCTGTTTCATCCCACTTACCCTTTCCCCTCCCCCCCTTCAGATGTGGTCTACACCCAAAGTCTGCATAGGAATAAGGCAAAAAGGGTGGCTCAAAGCAGTAGGTTTGGAAAGCTACTAGAGGGCATTAAGTGAATGTGATGGTGTTTCAGATGGGAATGTAGTGGGAAGTGCAGAGCAGGGAAAGGAGCATGGGAGGGAAGATGTTTGATCTAAATCAAGGATTTCTTACAAACAGGATGTGTAAAAAAAGGGGGCAGGGTGAATAAGACTGTTTCGAAGAAGTTGTTTCTTTTGTATCTGTTACTATATCTGTGTTTCATATCTATGCAAGTTAGCAATCATTTCAAATTTTGTTATGATTACCTTGACAGTATTTTCCATAAAGTGTTCATTCTGGAAGTCATGCTACCACTGAAGACTGTCATCTTATTTTTTCATGTTTGGAGAAGGAATTGTATGTTTGAGATTTTAGGGTTCACATTCCCCCTTTTTTCTGAACTTTTGGTGCTGGCAGTACTATAATTTAATTCTAGAAATAAAAGAGAAATCAGTCCTGCATTTGGATCTTATTATATGTCTTCTCTGCTACTTGAATTGCTTTTCTTCTGGAAATCACAGTAGAAACATGGTTTGTGGAGAATTCTCGATTCTTCTGTCTTATGTTTGCCTCTTTGAAAAAATAATAAATAGAAGCAATAAATTTTATTATGAAATAGTCAAGTCTCACTAACTCTCTACACTGTTTTTTGGTGCCCATTGGGTATATCTGTATGTCAGTGAAGCCCATATATACTTATACTAAAGTACAAGAGAATGACACCATTGCTTTACAGGCTGGCAGAGTTCTAGCTATTTTCTCTAGGCTTAATTTAGATCCCAGCTGTGCTTTGAAGTGAGCGAGTTTTGTAATCGTGTAAGCAATACTTGTGACAAAATCTACATGCAGTAAAGTTATTCTGTTAAACTGATTTCATTCTGAGCTTCCACTCAGGGCAAGTGAAAAATGAGACAACATGCATATGAGGTCAGAAGTAATTTTCATAAAGCCGTATACTGCTAGCAGCAGTCACAAAATCAGAGTACCAGCTATAGGCAAAATACCCACATTCACTGACTGGTTTGATAGCACGCTGTGCAAAAATATCTTCAGCAGGAATTGCTAGAGCCCTGTCTGAACTAACAGCGTTACAGGTGGAATGATTGTAGGAGAGGAAATGTGAGAAATAGGCTAAATCAAAGAGCCAGCCATTTGTATTAGACTACTATGTTATCTATTTGGTTTCATTGTGTCACTATTAAATCTAGTGTAGTTACTAGCAGAAGTAATTGTCTCAACTGTCATTTCCAAAACAGTGCTTTAATTGAAGAGTTTTTGCCTGGCTGCTGCTAACACCAGGCCAGTCACAGCCTATGGGAAAAAAATGAGTTTCCAGTGCCAGGTACCATTTGCAGTTAGCAGGTCCAGAAGAACACGGGGTGAGCAATATTCCTTTTGGTACTGGGATTTACAGTCTCACAGAAAATATATGCACAGAAGCAAAGCATAAACTTTTAAAATAGAACTGAGAAGATAAACCACTGTTTTCTGTGATGCTTTCTGATCTTGATATGCTAACAGAGCATGTGCTTAACACAGTATGACTAGTCAGACACCCTATGACCTGGTGTGGTGGGGGAATGGGATGACTTTGAAAGACTCTCTGTTGGGCAGTTGGTTTTGGGCCTGCTGACATACTGGGAGACTGGGATGTGAGAGACAAGGCGATTGTGCCTTGGCAATTTATACTGGCTGCAGCTGACAGACAGGTCTCATGACAAGTTGTTAGTCCTTGCTGCTGAATTGCTTTGTGGTCTCCTGTCCCTATTTGCAGACTCCATCTGTGTAAGCAGAAACAGTTGTAGTTCCTGCAAACGTGGACACCAAGGCTAAACAAATCAAAGGCAACTTAAGTAATTTCTAAAGGACTTGAAAAGAAAACCCCCAAAACAAATTAAAAAAACCAAACTTATTTTTGCTGAGCTAAGTCTTAGGCTGTGTGGAGCTGATTTTTAGGAAGCCTCAAATCATAAGCAAAATGTTAGTGCTGCCCTTTCTAAAAGGTGGAGATGTCTTCTATACTTCTTTGTTAAAGGAGAAGTGACTTTCTCTTTTACTTCTGTCAGTCAATAGTTGACTTATTTTGTCTTAAAGAGGGTTGCTAGCTTTCTTATCTGTGGGACTGAACTATAGTTGAAGTCTCCAAATAAGCATGAGAAACCCATTTGAGGGCTCTTTTTGCTAGGTTCTATACGCATGTCATATAAAGAGAACTCTACATCTTTTTTTGTCTGTCAGTACAAATGTTGCAATGTCAAAATTGTGATCTCGAAATGTAGTTCCTGTAGACTCTCGACACTTTCTGACAGTTCCCTCCATGGCTTTGTCTATGACTTTGCCAGCAGCTACGGGGTTACTGGAGGTGAGAGTGCTGCTGTACGTGTGTTTTGTTAAAGGCAGTCCCCATCCTACAGAGTTTGCAGTCCAGGTAGCTGTAGTGGTGGAACAGAGCATCATGAGGTGACTGGCTTGCCTGAGCTCCTACAGTAGATCAGCAGAAAGACAAGCAAGGACCTTGTGTCTCTTGCCCGTACTTCAGCCCATGCTGCCCTCAGTCCCTGAGGGATC